CGCATATTTTCTTATTTGTTATCGTGCTTTTGTACAGTATTGGAGGCGCGATGATATTTGTCACGATCGAGGGAACCAACGAAGAAGTGGCGCATGGTAACATTCGAAAAGAAAGGTGAGTATAAAGATGAAATTTTTGAAAAATTTTTTTTTTTGTATTTGATTTATAATTTTAAATATATAATAATTTTTTATAAGTAATATCAGATAACCAAGAAAGTTTTATTGTTTCTTTTTTTTTTATAGAAAGAAAGATGAAAAAAATATAGGAAACAAATTTTTTATTAAATTATTTTTAAAAAATGATCAATTGTTTAAAAATCGTAATATTTTTAAGTTTTAAAGATGATTGTTTTAATAAGAATTATTAAAATATTACAAATATTATTACAAATTTAGCAATTATTATTTGCTAAATTTTAATTATACATATATTGATTGATTTTAAGTCTTAATCATTATAGTTTTTTTTTAAGAACGTTTTATATAATTTTAAATAAAACTTTTTTGATTATTTAATTTAATTTAGAATGTTATTATAAATGTTATTGTAATATATTTTATGTTATATAATTATTTTTATATGATTTTATATAATATATAAATTAATTTTAAATTTAAATATTTAAGTTATTAACTTTATAATTTATAATGTTTATAAATAATTTATAATAAAATTATATAAAAAATATAAAAAATTATTAATATATCTAAATAAAGTTTAATAGAATTTACTTAAGGAAAAGAATAAATCAGATTAAATATTATTATATATAGTCAGGTTAATAAATAAACTGAAATTTTTATTAAATATAAATTTAAACATCTATAAATTTTACATCTCAATAAAATTTACTTAAAAATAATAATAGTTTTAAGAAGAAATCTTTTTTATTAAGATTGTATACAGAATGAAAAATGAAAAATTGATTTCTATTTGTTATACTTGCTTCTTTTTTTTTCATATAAAAATCTTTCACATATCGATATCATTTATTATTTCTAATAGAAGGAGTGCGAAATTTTCTACACTCAATAATCCATTGGCTATTTTATTTCACATTTGACATGAAGATTATTAGTTTATGCTTTCAACTCAAAGAGAGAAGAGTGATGTATCTATTTTGCACGCATACAAACATGTTTTAACCTTCATTCCAAGGAAAACGAGCTTGAAGAAGCACAAACGTAACGACAGAACCATAGATAACATTATATCGTTTTTATCGGGAAAATATAACTCGACAATATCAGTGAGAAAATATGGGACAATCGAACGCGTATTAAGACAAACACGAGAAAATAATATATAATATATTGTTTTATTTCACTATCTTTGTTCCCGTGACCTAACTTTTATTTATTTTAATCCGATTTCATGTACGATATACATGAATTTTTTCATGAAAAATAAAAAATAATTGCATTTTTCTTTGTATGCTTACTCAGATATTTTTCATGTTACAAAAGAAAATAAATTTTTTTTGTATAAACATACTATATTGTAGCAAAAAAATTTGGAATATTAATTTTTTGTGATTCCTTTTTTTCAATAATTAAATTTAATGTTTGATTATAAATAAATTATTGCTTTAAAGTGAAATTTTATTTTTCTCAAAAATTGGTATCATTTTTTTAATTTAAAAAATTTTTGCTGCGATATTTTAGAAATCAACAAAATTTCTTTTTAATATCATTCATGTGAAATAATATCAAGTTAATACTCGTTTATTTTGACTGATTGCGACGAAAACAGGCAAAACATTTATGGCAACATTTGTGTACATACGTATGAATCGTTAACTATGTTTGAATCGTAATCTGATGATGCCAAAGCTTTGTATCACGCAAGCATGTTTCAAATTATCGTGATAAGATTTTATTTACAGTGTGTATCCTCTGCATTCCTTATCCTTTTGAAATTACACGAAAACAGTCTTCATAAATATTCAAATAATTTATTAAAGTAATATGATATTTAATTAAAATAATATGAATTCAATAAAAGTGTTTTCCCGATATTATTTTAATATAAATTAAATTTTGTTACAAATGATTTTAATTTTTTATACCTTTTAATTTTTATCGAATTTTTTTTAATCTTTCATTTCTTTTCACAATTTGGCCATAATACAAACAATATTGAAATTTACAGCTAATAGCTTCTTTAATGTAAGAAAAAGTAAAATGTGATTGTAGCCAAAAATGTCATCTAATAATTTATCTTTCTATAAGTTTTGTTGGCAAAAGTAAAGAAAGTTTGAAGATTTGTAAATTCGATCATGATATCTTAATCTTGTTCTTAAATATTTAATTATTTTAATTATTGAATTTTTTAAATGCTTATTATAGGATATTTAATTTTCAAAAAATAATTATTTTTTAATAATTTTAATTTCATATTTTAAAACAGCATAAAGATTTATTTTAATTATGAGTATTGTAAAAAAATTTATTTTAATTATTAATTTCAATTATTCTTTCAATGAAAAAAATAAACAAATAGAATATTAGAATCTAAATATAGCAGAACAACTACATTTAGCAAAAATATTTAATAAATAATACAATGATATAAAAATTCATAATTATATCATTCAAAATTATAATTTCTGCAGAACTTTTTAAACACTTAACTTTTATAAATTACTTTATTCAAAAATCTTTTAAACGTTTACCATTTTCTTCTTCATTAAATTTAAACTCAATCATCGCTATAATTAAGTTGAAAAGTTCTTAAATCTTTTTGAGTCAAAATTCAAAATAAAAAAGTTACTACTTCTATAATTTTCAAATTCATTTTCATTATTTAAACTGTTTCATCTTGTTTCATTTGTGATATTTTATTCCTTCATCTTTATGCAAAGTATAAAAGTGAAATTCATAAGAATGTCCACGACTTCCTTGACTTATTCCACTTACCAACAACAATTTCGTCTTGTTTGAAGGAGAATCGATTTTTCCACCATACGTTCATTTAAAGAAGAATCGATTGACCTTAAAAGGAAGGTCAGGTTTAACACGGGATTCGCGTCTGACCTCTCTTTTATTCGTTGAAAAAGTAACTATGACGTGACCGATCCGATAGAATTCTGGTGCCCAACCGATGAGTCGCGAGAGTTGTCAAAAATTATCAATTTTTGACACTTATTTATTTTAATATTGATTTTTGAATTTTATAGTATATTGAATTAATAATATAGTAATAGTAAGTTATATGAAGTATATGAAGTAATTAATATTTGAATTTTCATATCTTGATTTTTGTCCCATTTTAACAAGAGGAAAACTTTAAGAAAAATTTTAAAGTAATAAAATAACTCAAAAAAATATGTAAAGTATAAAATTGATAGAATTTTTTTTGAATTGATTATTTTATTCATTTATATTTTTTCATTTTAATTTAAGAAATTTGACCAATTTGCATGCAAAACATAAATAAGAAAATTGAAATCAATAAAGTTATATTATTGTAACTTAAAAATAATTAAGCTTGTTTTCATTTCATTCATAAAATTTTCATGTTAAATATAAAATAAAATGAAGTAAAATAAAATAAAATAAAATAAAATAAATTGTATTTATTTGTATCGATTATTTCTGTGTTTATATACAATCATATAAATAATTGCAAAAGTGATTTATAAATATTTTGATTTGATTCAATTACTTTGATAAAAAATTTTAATTTTAATATATTTATACAAGATTTGGATGAGAAAGAAATCACAAATTATGACTATGATATTAAAAACAGAAAAAACTCAAATATATTAAATATTTAATATATTTAATATTTATAATTAATTAATTAAATTATTTGTATTTAATACATTCTTTTAAAAATATTAATAAATTAAATATATATAATAATATATATTATTATAATATATAATAATATAATAATATATATAATATATATAATAAATATATAATAATATAATATATAATAATATATATTATTATAATAATATAATAAAATTAAATATATTATTAAATACATTATTATTATTAAATCTTTTTAAATATTAATTTGAAATTATTATTATTGTTCTAAAATATTTATTTTTAATTATTTACTTTATATCTATATTTATACTTTATAAATATTTATTTTATACTAAATATACTTTACTTTATTATATTTATCTTATCTTTCATAAAAGAGAATTTGCGAGTTTGTAAAAATTGCAAATTTTTTTTTAAAAATTTTTAAAAATTTTTTTTAAAAATTTTTTTAAGAATCGCGACTTAAAACAGTTTGAGAAACACTGCGATAAAAGGAAGGAAAACATGTGTCGTGATTCAAGTACTCAGTGTTAACGACAATAATCTTTATAAATCTTTTTTCCTTTCCCTTTTATTAGTAGATAAATAATTTATTTTTTTCTGTGAATTCTAATGTGTGTAAGGATATTAATTAAGGAAAAAAACTTAGAAATAAATTTAAAAATAAGTTGCAAATGTGTTTCAATATTGTTTCAAATATAATATGATGCTTAAAATAATCAAGAAGGTCAGTTAAGTAATTTAAAAAGAAAGAATTTTATATGCGCATTTTTCTAATAATTTTTCTAATTCAAATATCACATATATATTAAAACAAGTATTTTTATTTTATTCTTTTTTCAGATTAATTCAAGATTAAAGATTGAATTTTTTTCTATTATTTATCAAGATTGAAAACTTTTACAGAAATTAAATTTTTTTTTTAGAAATTTTTTTAAAAGGGAAGTTTTCCTCATTAATTAACAATAAAAATTTAAATAATTAACAATAAAAATAAAAATTTTTTTAAGAAAAGAAATATTTTTTTTTCATAGATATATGTATATTTAAAATATAAAGTATACATATATCTAAAAAAATACATTAAATATAAGATTCCTAAGAAAACTTTTCTTAATGAAAAAAATTAAAATTAAAAATTCAGAAGAAGAAATTCAAAGATAAAATTTTAATGATTCAATTTGTTTATGAAAGATTAAAAATCTATGATAGAAATATTTTTAGAAAGAGAAAATAGAAAATATGATTTATTTAATATAAGAAATAACAAATGTTTAAAATTTTAATACTCTAAAATAGTTTATTTAATAAAATTATACAAATTAATTAATGATTTAAGCTTCATGTTTTTTATTATAATGTTTATACATTATATTAATTACATTTAATTATAATGTAATTATATTATAAAAATATATATTATATATATACGTTAAAATTAAAATCAAACAAAGTCTGCAATACAATTATCGACGAGTCTAGACAGAATCGAATCTTTTGGTATGTTTGTCAACCTATTTCGTCATTTCCTCCAATAATTCAGTTATGTTCGAGCTATTTAGACGAATCACGAACGAATCAACATGCAAAAGAAAACCGATGATTTGATTGCTCTTTAGTTAACGAGACGAAAAAAAACTGCAATGAAAAGGAAAAGAAATCTATCTAGTAATTACAAGTCTCAAGAAATAATTCAGAATATACACGTACATAAATATATAATTTTTTTTCTAAATTGCAGAATTTATTATTTGTATAAAACATATTTTATTTTTATATATTTTATTTATTTATTTATTTTTGTTTCTTTTCTTATTTTTTTATATTTTAACTGCACAATAAATATCTATATCAGAAAGTTTTTCTTTTTCACGTTAAATTAAAATACCGAAAAAATAAGAACGAAAGATGGAATTGTTATGAGCATTTCGAGCTTGAATTATTTAATTAAAAATGATACTCTTATTATACTATTATATGTATTATTATTAGATAAAATAATATCTTTCGATCTACTTCTAGGAATAACATTCAAAACAAATTTAGATTTAATTTTTTTTTTTTAAATTTCACTGTAACTTGGATCTATCTAAATGCAAAGTTTCTCTGTAATCTAGATCTATCTAAATGCAAAGTTCATATAATATAACATAACATGTACTAATACTAAATAAAAATTTGGAAATTATTTTTTTTTCTTTTCATTAAATCTAATTTTGTTATTAATTTGAAATATATTAGATATCAATAATAATTTCATTTAAGATAACTTTTTTTTATAAAAGATAATTGAACTTTAAACTAACTTACTCTCTTACTTTTTAATATTTACTTGAATTTTATTTGGATTCTTAGATATAAGGTTTTAATGATTTCAAAATTTTAATTGGTGGTAATTTTCATATTATAACCTATTAATTTTTTCTTATATTACTGAAAAAATTAATCAAAAAAAAAAAAAAAAATGAAAAGGTAAGAAAGAATTTTAAAAAATCTAATCTATTTTTTAAATATTTGAATAAGGTGTTAGTGATTTTAAATCAATTAATTCAAAAAAATGAAATAAAGTGTACAATCGAATATCAGAAATTTCTGTCAATTAATGTTTAAATATGCCACAGGGACAAAACATTGATCACAATTAGGGAGCTGTGCAACGATCAGGTATTGGCTACGAATTCGGATCTTTGGAATGGACGAGCGAGGAATGAATTGATGAAATATGAGGAACATTTGTACGATTATTTCAAGCGTGGGTTGTCGGATCATGAGCAGAAAGTGTGGACCTTTTGGAACGCTGTGTTTTACTGTGGTACCATTTACACCACCATAGGTGAGTCACGATATTGAGAGAGAAAATTGGTATATTTTATTCTTGGATGAAATATAAGGTGGAACGAAAAAATCAGAATCTTAGACTTAAAGGTGCAAAATTTTTGTAAAATTCATTTTTGTCACGAAGGTTTTGAAATTTTTAATCTTTCATTTTCTTATGTTTTTAGATATTAAAATATTTTTTTTTTACTTTTTTTAATTTTTAAATATCTTAAAAAATTTCTTAATAAAATTCAAATTTTAAATATTAGTATATGAAAGATAACTTTTTGTTTCGTTCTATCTTTTATTACATACTTAAACTATTTTTCATTTCAATCATGTACATTTTATTTAAATTGAATAATATTTTACATTAAATTCATTAAGATTTGCACATCTTATTTCAAGCTGAAAAAATTGAAATATTTCTAATTTTTATTGAATTATTATTCATGCATTTCTATTATATTTATATCATTATATTATATTATATCATGCATTTCTATTAGTTTTATTAGATTTTTGGTTTTAAATTATATAATATATATATATATATTTTTAATTCTTCATATGTATATATATATGTTCTTCATATATGTATATATTACATAAAACCTTTAAAAGATTATTTATTATATTATTATACAAAATATATAAAATAAATTTAATATTTTTATAATATTTGTAATAAATATAATATTTGTAAAAAGTAAATATTTTAAATATGGCTATATATGAAAAAATAATATAGAATTTCTTATATAAAAAAGATTTGCAAATTTTATACAATTAAAAAATATTTTTTGTATATCAACTCATAAACTTGCTTCAAATATTCTATAAATATTTTAAAGAAATACCAAGTTGTATGAAATAAAAACTAATTGATTATATAAAACGAAATCGAACGTGTCATATCAATTCTCAAGTTCTCTTGTGTCGATTATTCTTCTAAAAATAAAATAAAAAAAAAAAGGAAAAAAAAATTGAAATCACAGGAGAATCAAAACTTATTATTAAATATTAAAATTTATGAAAAAGAAATTATGTCAATTTTTTGTTTTTCACCATTGAAAAAGATTCTTTTTAATCAATAGGTTTTTCAATAAACAAGAAAAATTATTATATTATAAAATTATTAATATGACAAAATTATTATTATACAGTAGTTTGTTATTGGAACAATTCAAATATTTTTACAAAAGAATCGATCGTATCTCGAAGAATTTGCGAAAATATTATTCCATTTGTTTTTAAATTGTTGTATTAATACTTATTTCATGTTAAATTACCTTTCGCAAGGAAATTCTGGTAGAAATATTGAATCAAAATGAAAATGATATTTTCGAAGTTCAGTTCATTCAGAAAATGAGAAAACAACAATGTTTTCCAATGAATGAACTTCTTCCTTTATATTTTGAAATGTTAAAAATTTAATTTATTAATTTGGTTTCAATTTTATTATTGTTATTTTTCCATTTTCCAACTAAATATTCGAAAATATATCAAATAATTTTGAAAACTTTAAAAATTTTATCATCAAATTGATTTCAAAGTTAATTTTATATTCCATTATTATTATTTTTCCATTTTCTAATTAAACGTTCGAAGATTTACATATAATTTCTTAAACGTGAAAATTTCAGTTTTATTAATAATTTTAAAAACTAAGTTAGAAAATTATTTCCACTTAATATCATGCGTTATTTAATTGGTCCTTATGGTTAATGAAAATGATCAACGCGTGAACAATTGGTTTCTATTTAGAAGGTTGCACTTGACCCCGATATGAAATTGATTTTCTGGTGCAAGAGTCGCTCGAATATCTGAAACATTTTGATTATTTGACATCATCTGATGATTAAAAAAACGTTTTGTATGATATTCGATCATTAATGGAATCTTTTTTTTTTCGAATCATTTGATCGTGATAAATTCAATATATTCGATGATCGATTGCATTCAACAAAAAAAATTTTAATAAGTAATTTTAAATTTAATAAATATTTTAATAAATATAATAACGTTCTCGAAACATCACAGTAGAACATTGTTTATCTAAACGTCTATTATTCGAAGTTTAGTCAAATGATGAATACTTAAATTAACATATTGTTTATATTTTGCAATATATATTCTGGAATCTTAGAAAATAATTAATTTATTTTTTTACACGAAAAAAAATATTTGAAAATTGTTTAATTTTTACTTGTTTTATAATTATTTTATTTTTCCTTTTGAATAATGCATGCTCTATTGTATATGACTATGACTTTATCATTATTGATATTAATGTTTTGGAAATAATTACTTCATTACCAATAGAATAATTATCTTATAATTGATGTCCTAAGATAATATTGGATTATACAATTGAAAAATTATCTCTCAGGGATTTTTTCTTTTCTATCAATCTAGAAAGTTGAATATCAGTCACATTGCAAAAATAATTCTATACAGAAGCGATTTACAAACACAAACGTTCTTTTCATTACAAATATCGGGAACGGAAATCACCTAGAAATGTGTTATCGGAAGCGAAAAGATGATTCGAATGCTCCTATTTACATACATTATTGTTTATAAATATTTGAATATGTATTTGCATCCATTTATAATACATGCACTAGAATGATTGAAATAATAATAAAGATAAAACTGATGTTTAAGGGTAACTTCAATAACTTTGTTCTTCTATAAGTATATATTGTATATATCGTCGAAAAAGTTTTCTTGAATAACTTCTAAAAGCTTTTAGATATTTCGTTATTCTTTGAAAAATTATTGATTATTAAAAATAAGATATTTTCCAAGCAAATATCTTAAATATTTATGTGTTAAGAAAATAAAAGAAAATATTTGTTTTGTATATATAAAATTTCTTTGTTCTGATTTTAATGGTCCAATATTTATAATCGAAAATGAAAAAATAGTACAAAATATTGAAACATATCCATTGTGATTGTTATTTCAAATAACGAATATTAATTTATGAAATTATGGTAAATAATTATGAAACGAATAAGAAATTTCGCTTCTTCTTTCATTCTAAAATAATCTAACCTAAAATTCAGGTTTGATTTATTTTATCTGGATAAATTAGTTAAATTAGTTAAGTTAGTTTATTGTTAAACAATTTAAAAATTTATATTTTACTTTTTTATTCGTTATTGTTTATTTATTATAAAAAAATTAATTATTTGTTAATTTCTTTGGTGATTTTATTATTATAATAAAAATACGAACATGTTTATCCTTTCACGATTGGTTTTTATATATAAAATGCCCCCAAGACACATCATTTTAGATTTTATAATATTTTACTTTTTATTGTTTTTATTTTATTGTTTGTTAAACCTTTGTAGAAAAAATTTTTCAAATAATAAAAATATTTCATAATATTCAATTTTAAAGATATCAATTTTTATTAAAAATAATTTTATTATGTTTATTCAATATTTCATATAATTATGAATAATAATAATACAGAATAAAATTACTTATTAGCAATTTGTTAATAAAATTATAATATTATATCTGTCAAAACAGATATATCTTAAAAAATTAATTTTATCATGTTACAATATTTAACACGGTTATAATAATAATCAATTTACATCCTGCCAAAGATAAAGCACAACATAGATGTGCTTTCAGATAATTTTCAACAAATAATAAAATTATTCATTAAATTACAAACAGTTTAAGCTTACGTGAAATGAAATAAAACAGATATAAAGTTATCTTCATTGCACCATTACCTCATCCTATTTCCGTCTCTCTTTATTTAATACAAATTTCAATTGCTTATAATTTAATAAATAAGCCTCAACCGACATTTTTATATACCAACTTTTATATTTGTTTTGGGTTCTAGAATCAATCATCCAAAAGATTCCACAAATATATTAATAATATGTAATATGTTTATGTATAACATATTAACAAATATGTTAATATTTTGTATATCAAAAATAGGAAATCACGATTTTCTTCATTTTCCACATAGAAGATATATATAGATTCTAATATATCCGTGATCTATATAAAACTATTTTCGATAGAATGATTATCCTTTCACGATGTACATATCTGTAAAAGATACGCGATAACCTTCTATTCTATTACATTGATTTACACACGAACGCGAAAAGCTTTGGGATATTTACAGAATTGAGATTCGAGAGGTCTTTGCCTCGTTGGCTCGTGTGAATATCGACGCGGATAAAACAATCATTGAAGAAATAAACTGCGAAACTCGAACAATGCAGTTTTTCGTTCAACACTGGATCAGTGTTTTTATAGCGACATAAGTTTATTATGACAGATATATTTTTGGTGGCATTAACTGTTGTTGGTTCTTAACCTATTATTTTACAGTTTGGAAGTATTGTATTGCAATTTTTCTAAAGCGATTGATATGATTCTTTTCAAAGCAATAAATTTGTTCTTTTTTAAAGACAATTATTGTGATACTTTTTTCATCTGTAATTTTTTATTTTATGAGATGAGAATTACTTTTGTTAAGGTCAACATGAAGGATCTGGGGTTGTAAAGCATTTTAGTATCTCCTAAAAAGCAATGAAAAAGTGTTTAGTGAAGTTCTAAAATCAATACTTTTAGTATAGACTATATTATTTTATATCTATATATCTAACTATATATTTATGAGGTTTTATTTATTTCTTAGCAATAAATTTGATATTGGTACTTTACTTTTTATATATATTTTTTTTTTATTTTTTTTTTTTTTAGAGCTTGTATTATTTTCTTACTTTATTATTTTCTTACTAAAGTAAAAATTACTTTTATTAATATCAGAGTTACTAATAATTAATTTGAAAATTTAAGTTTTTAAGAATTTTTAATATTTGTCAAAAGAAATAAGATATGTTTAATCAAATTAATTAATTTTATAGTTTGAAATTTGAAATCACATTTATATTTCTTTGTTTATTTTTTAATCATTTTTTTATTTATTAAATGATTATTAAATGAAAAATAGTGTTAGAGCTTTTATTAATATCAATTATATAAAAAAGAAATATTATTTTTAAGTATTTTTAGTATTTAAAGATAATAAAAAATAATTAAAAAAAT